TAGTCGAACGCAGATTCACTGAGCGCTCCACACAGACAGCATCGTCAGAAGGAAAGTTGATAAAATAAATTACAAATGTTGTATTGTTCGATACATATGCGTACCGAACCGAAAGCACTGTATCGAACGGTTCAATATCGATACGAATATCGTTGCACCCCTAAAAAATACATCTAATCTTATACAGGTAAAGTATAGCCAAGACTAAAGAACAGAGAGAAAAGCTCTTGTTGTTTAATTTTTTTTATCTCTTTTAGATAATCTAGATTTTTTTTCAACAAACAGGATAAACTCTTACTTTTCTTTTTGGAGAGACTGGTTGCGACTCAATGGTTGAGAGGATGTTGGTAATTTTGTCAGCAGAGTCATCAGGAAATTCTTTGCTGTCAGTTACTGTGACTGCATCTCCTTCCATAACCACCTGCTGCTGTTCTTTTGACTCTGGTTGCACCATAATTTGCTGCAAAGATTTTGATGAGTCTGTCAGGATGGTGCGATCATCAGTGTCTACCACCTTAATAATCCTCTCTGCAACAGACAGGTCTTGTTTTGTCTGAGCCTCTGGAATAACTTGAGCTACTGCAACCTCTGGAGTGACAGGGGACGCAGAGACAACTGAAGCGTCAGGAACTGGAACTGAAGAAGGTTCAGCTACTCCTGCTTCAAATTCATCTTTATGAAGATCCGTTTTAGACTCTTCAGTTTTGCGTAATTTTGTCGTGCTGAAATCTGTTTTTGGTACCTCTTCTTTCTTGGTAGCATCTGTATCTAGAACGTCAATCGTTGGTGTTACCTCTGTCAAACGTTGCTTTAAAACCTCTTCTTTGGTGGGTAAAGGTGTCGTCTCAAGCTCAATATGTGTAGACGCTGCTGTAAGCGTTGTTTCCATTTTGAGAGATGTTGATTCTACATTTGCTTTTATGGTTGAAACTGTTGGTGCTGTCTCAACAGGCACGGGGGTGGGTTGTGATTTTGTGGGTCCAGGCCTGGTCTCTGACTTCGTTGAGGTGGTTTTGGGCTCTGCCTTTGTGGTTACTGGTGTGGCCTGGGTCTCTGACTTAGCAGGTGGAGGTGAAGGTTGAGGCATTTTTCCTGAGTCTCCCAGCTGTCCTGACAAAGCCCTCTGAGTTTGGCAGTTTAAACACAGCCATTCCTTCTGTAATCAAACAAAAACAACATAATTAGGAAACACATTAAGATAAAAAGTCACAATACCAAATGAGAGCTATTGTAATCAGGCTAATTATGGTCCTTATCCAAAGAATTTATTTGTTCAAAAAGATAACTGAAGCGTTATGCCAGAGTTGTAAAGTCATGAATGAATTAGCTTCTTTGTCATGCTTCACACCACTGCTTTTTCATTAGCTTCTGGACTAGTACCTGATGATATGTATATGGATGGCCCTGCATAATGATTTAAAATCTTGACTTAGAGCCTACTTAAATAAAGTATTATACCTTAAATTATTAGTAATAATTAAAATGAAACTGTCTGGAATTTATGACTAAATTAGTACTTGGTATTTAGGTGGGATGTCTCCATGTGTGTACCAATGCCACAGAAAAACAGCGCTCTAAAACCAAGCTAGCAGAACAAAGAAATTGTTGAGTAATTGTTTGGCTAGCCCATTGAGACATTACACAAAAAAAGGATATCTATTCTGCAATATATATAACTGTGCCTAACTAATTATTAGCCCATTACCTTCACGGTTTAAGAAAGGGAATTATAAAGGCTCAAATAACAACAGACTAAATCTGAGCACTGACAACACTAAACTTTGTTACATGTCAGGTGCTCATTAAAATCCTGCATTAAGATCACAGTAAATTACCCCACTGTGTGCAGAACTCAGTTTTCTTGTGCATGCATTTTTTCTGTTTTCTGTTATGATGATACAGAATCTTGTGTTTTATATGTCATTTCATCCATACACATTAAAAAAAAAGAGTCCACGGTCAAAAGTAACCTGGCCAGGCTGAATTAGACAGAAAGGTTATTTTTCATACAAAGTGGAACTATTAAAGAAAAAGAAGGGCTTATGTAAGTTGAATCAGTATCAATCTCATTTTACAAAAGCCTCGCCTCAGACTTTATTTCTTTTTAAACTGCTTTCAGAAAGACAATTTGCCGAAAATAGTGCCAAATTACTTGAATCAGGCTGCTTTATGTCTTTACTGAAAAGAAAAGCAAAAACAAAGAAAAACACTGAAGAAAAACAACAAGCACAAAACAACAAAAAGCAAAAATACTTGAAGAACTCAGTCGTGTGATGTCTAGACTTTTTCCTGTTAAGTACGTTTGCAAGTAATAAAAGTTCCAAATTATGTGCTTTAGACTAAGACATGATAATTCCTGATGGTTTTCACATAGACAAATATTATAGTCAATACAATACAGTTTTGGATGCTGAGTAATACCATAGCACTCTAAGTGATCCAAATTCAGTAATCAGCTATCAATGCTGAAAAACAGACTTAGATTTTTAAACTTCTTAATAAAATAATATAAACATGCTCAGCACTGTTACAGTAGACCGTACATTACACATGAAACAGCAATAGAATGCTTACCTTGCAAAAAAGCTAATCTCATTTTATAAGGAATGCTATTACTTCAAAATGTACTCCTCTGAAGACATTTCCTATCACATCTAAGCTCCATTAATGGACAGCTAAAGAGGACAAAAGCCATAAGCTGCCAATACATTAAGCACTGTGTCTGTACTAGCAACCTAGCAGACCAAATCACAGCAATGCGCCTGCCTCTGCAGAGTCAGGGAGAGCTGCTCTCATATAGGACAGAGGGGGAGTTTATAACACACACATATCCTGTGAAACACCACAAAGTTTTAATTACTTCATCCATGGTTTAATGTATTAGACCCATACTACATATACTGTCTAGTGTATATACATTTAGAATATCATAATTATGCTAATACAGTGGTCATATATGCATAACAATGCCCATGTAATTCATAAACTAGTAACACAGTTACTTTGTTTTTTTCTCTTTCATTTTACTTGTGAAACTGAGCTTTTAAAATACCCCTCTTGTTTGTATATTTTGTCCCACTAAATTGTATAATTATTGCTTGTAACTTTCCAGAACTACCACTGAAGACTGATAGCGTACATCTACTGCAAATAGAGCATGCAAGGAAATGTTTATATTCAGAAAGTGTAGGCAGCAGCAACACTGCAAGATGAATATGATAAACTGCATGAGCGTGTTTTGTTTCTAACTGAGAAATATTAATTGAAAACAAAATTACAGCCAGTGAGAACACATTAACATAATCTTTGATAAATAACGCCATAAAAAATGGGGAAAAAATGCTAGACTTAGAGGAAAATCTGATACTGATGCATTCAGTTTGCCTGACAGTGAGATGTTTTTGTTCAGTGAGTCGTGATTCAGTCAGGAGGATGATAATCCTATTTGTTACCAACAGTAACAAATAATACCTCATCAGCAGAGTGTATGATGCTGATAATTGTGTTAAACACAAAATGATTTGAGTCTCAGTTTCGTGTGATCTGATGCGAGTTTAGCATCAGTGATGTTTACCTTTGAAGTTGATCAAACACTAACTACCAGGAGGTTCATCTAAAACCCATATTTGCTGAGAACAATTCATCAAGAATACAGAATATGTGCTGAAAAACCTTTTAAGTCTAAAGGTTAGGGTTAGTTCAAGTATTCTAATATAATCCCAACATGTCCTTCCATGCTCCATATTCTTCTCTGTCTTGCTTACAAGATGTAATCACAGGTAAGGTGTAAGATGCTCTTCTTGCCTGTGTATGCTAATCAGCAATTTCATGTCACTACCAAGGCCATTCAGAGGATAAATTAATAATCATAAACTTCTGCTCTTCCTGTTTGTTTGATCATCTTGTAGACCCATTACAATATGGTCTGATGGGAGGCAGCTGATTATCTTTATAACTAATGTATACTAAAATGAATACAATTTTTCCTGTGTATAAACACCTGTGCCATTTGTCATTTTCAAGGAGATGAAATCGCAAGTAGTCATAAGCAATCTTAACTTTAGTTCGAAGATGGATATAAAATCAGATACATTTTACAATCATTGATTACAGGAGATGTTTACAGTTGTAATATTTCTGATATTCTATTAGTCAGCATCAATTTATTAGTTACCCTCTGTGGATTGTCTTTAGTAAAGATAACTGCAAACTGAAATTAAAACATATTCACAACACAGAGGTTCTGACAAAGCTACTTGCCGACAATCTAATATGGTTCAGGTCTTCAGGTAATAGTATTACACTGGTCTGAATCGTATTAATTGATCTTTTTCAACCGAAGTGATGAATGCATGTACTGGCAAATTGCAGGAAGAATGTAAACAAAGCAACTCACTTTTGCATTGTGTGTTAAATGGTGGACAAGGCAGCTGTGATAAACAAGTACACCCCTCACTGCACCAGTCTAGAACCTGATAAGTCATTTAACCTCCTAATGCAAAATCTGACAGCAAGGCAGAAAAAAAAGCACTTCCGTCAACAAAAAAGACCATTCACATCCCCCACTAGCGCCAGTCACTGCTTCAGAGTCATGCATCAGAGCCACAGGGCTTGGAAAGTTACCATCGTTCTTTTGTTTAATTAAATCTATTTTATGAGCAAAGAGCAGGAGCTTACAGCAGAGAGCTGTGGGAGAGACTGCTCCACACGATTAGCCTCTGAGCTGGATTATCAGACCTTGACAATGACAGCAGTAAGGAAAATAGGCTCTTGACACACAGGTATGCTGCATTAAGCTAGATCTGCTGAGCTTATGAAATCATTTCCCTGTTCAAATCATTTAAACAAAAAGACAAATAAATTATATATGTCATTCAAAATGTGAGATGTTAAAATACTTTTACTGTTATTTATGTATGTTAAATAAAAACATTTGCCAGATCTCTTCTGATAACTCTCAATGGATCCTCAGTACTCTTAGGTCGTCGTAGTGTTTGGGATGAAAGGTGACTGGTTCAGCAAAGACACATTAATCAAAGTGCTCCAAAGACCAAAAATGTTTTAGTCTTGCATTTTTAGACGAATGAAACTATTTTTTTATATTGTTTTAATAATGAATATTATTTGTCACTTCTTAGACACCTATCATAACTTATCGTGGTGGTGCTGAAATGTATCTTAACATAGCTAGATTCAAGGACTCACTATTTCTCAGCCTTTCTTCTGTGCTTTCCTGCTGATGTGTCGGATCTAGTAAGGCTCTTATTGATTTTCTGGCAAGCACCTTTAGCAAAGGCTGTAGCTTGCTAATATACTTGGCTTCCAGCAGCCCCCACAGAGCAGGGTTTCTCATAAAGCACACACTCTGATAATACAGAATGTTGACCTACTAATCTGTAATAACCACAGTGACTCACTCCAAAGACAATGAAATATGCCCATGCTTTTTCCATTGTGACAACTGGTGCATCAGCAAAGTTTCATTTGATGGCAGAGTGCAGTGGGGATAAAGACTGTTGTGGGACCAGTGGTAAGAGGGTGTTCCAGCATTAGAAGGAAATGTTACAAACTAAAGCTATAAGCTACAAACACAAATAGATGAATAGAATAATATTTTTTAAAGCAATGAATAAATGCAGGCACAGAATTACTGATACAGAAACATCAGTGTTTCCAAATTCCAAATATATTTTCTACGATTCTTGTTTATAGAAAAGAATTAAAGCATCTGAACTAAAGAAGCTCTTAGAAATGATCATATATTAACATATAACCCCTAATCACTGTCAGTACAGGAGAGAGAACGCATCTTGAGATGATGTGGATCATTTCATTCATGTTACTTATTATTCATTTCTATATTTATATTTAGATACTTTAAGCATTAATACAATTTTTATTTATTAACTAACTCTGTAAAATGAAGTAATAACAGGTTATGTAAGTACAATTTTGAGTATTTGCTTTGTAACATAGCACCAAGGAGTTAAACTCCCTCTATGTTTTGTAAACCAAGCCTTTCCTGTTTGGTGTTTTCATAGCTACTTTTACAAATTTAGTGCAAGTCCTTCCCTATAATTTGCAAGTCAGAGCAAAAAAAATAAATGCTTACATCTGCTCTCTGTTTCACTGTGTGTTAGTGAATAACATACCAGCTAACACAATAGTAAACAACATCATCAGTTTACCTGCTCTAACATATCATGGCTGCTCACCGAGAGTTGGTGGATGTTTTTTTTTCTAATAGTTGGTCTTCTGATTGTCAATGAAATGCAAAAGAAATGTGAAGGTGCAACTGAGATGCATTTACTTTGCAATGTGACATTCAGTGACTAATTCAATACGCCCACCAGTGATTACTCTCGACACCTGACATAAACCAGAAACAGCCATCACGCCTCCAGAAGTTTAAATTTCCATTTAAGTTCAAATTTAAGTGAAGACCATTTTTTGATGGTTGCCAAGGGTGGCACATGCACTCCAAAGGTGGCCTTCTTTGATAAATGTTGGATCTTGTGACTAATTTCCATTGCTTCAACTTTCATGAATTTAAACTGGGAAATTCTTAAAGAACATTCAACAGCTTCAGCGTTTACAGACTTGTTGTTGTCACCTCTTTAATGCTGGACCGCATCATTAAGCTTATGCATGTGAGATTTTCATACATGATATTATGCTCACATAGCGGTGACTGTAGCTCAGGTAGAGCAGATTAGCTACTGATTGGAAGGTTGGTGGTTTGATCCTTGGCTTCCCCAGTCTGCATGTCAAATATTCTTGGGCAAGAACCAAGTTGCCCTCTGATGCGTTCATCGGAGTGTGAATGTAGTGTGTGTGTAGATTAGTTTGCACTTGAGTTTAGTTTAGAAGTGCTTGTGTGAATGGGTGAATGAGGCATGTTGTATAT